TGTTGCAAGGTCCACGCTTGCCCTGTGGTGTGCTTAATGAACATGGTGTGGGGCATCGAAAACACCATCCTGTCCTGCATGTGTTTTCTGGTTTGGTTGTAGGCTCGCATTGCTCAGGTGTGTTAAAGTGAAATCATATGTTTGACTCCTTCCTCGCATTTATCACAAATGGGACATTCCTACACAACACATCACACACACGAGACAATGGTGAATGCACTATCTTGTTCTTTCTCTCAAGACAGCGCGGGTGAAATCTTAGTTTGCTTTGGGGGTAGGCCGCGTGAGCCAGGCACACTCGACGGCAAAAAACACGACTAAATTTGCCGAAAGAGCGTGTTCATGCTCGACGCGATTTTAACACCCACTGGCCACTGGCTACCATCCCAGGTATTTGATGTGACGGTTCCGTGAGCATGCATGTCCGAAGATGGTAGTTTGTCCGGAGTAAACTTGTTTTATATGAGGCAGGCTTGCCCAGGCATCTAGGACACCCCGTTGAAGAACCTCAAGTCAAAGAGTTTTTTTCTTGGCACAGGTTTTGAACCCCAGATTCTCTTCAACATGGGTTTTTCGTGTTGTTCCCTTTGGTATAAGAAACGAATTGCCTGTATAGAAAGGGCAGGAAAGGAAAGGAAAGGAGAAATGCACACATACATTTACATACATACATACATACATACAGGGTCAGCTATCAAAAGAAAACAATTAACGATTCAAAAAAAGGTTCACATGCAAAAAGATACATCAAAAAATACCAAATCAGCTGGTCCCTTGGTCCCTGTTCCCTGGGTTCCCTGCTCCCTTGGTTCCCTGCAGGCGGCTGGAGAAGACGGGCGTTGCAGGACCACTTGCTGGCCGAGCTATGGATGCCTATCAAAGTGACTGAAAGCAGAGCCTCTTCAACGGCTCTATGCGCGACCACAATCTGCGCTGGAATGTGAAGGAGCTTGGGGACGTTTGGAACAACAAGGGCAGCTGACGCTCTTGAACAGAGTCCCAGGTCCTCTGCGAGCTGAAGTAGGTGGGAGGCAAGCGCGACTGCTGAGGCTGCTTATAGTGGGCCCCAAGTC